GGTTGGGGTCCAGACTTCCTGGTGTGGAGGGACCAGGCGTGATCGCCCCATCCGAGCTGCCGTCTAATGCTGACACCTAGTCTATTTTTTGATTCTTTTAAATAAATGCCTTTTACAGGCTTAAAGCACTGCCTGTTTCCGTGTCCCCCCAGTTTTTGTTGCAACCAGTCGAGCCAGGTCTGGTTAAGTTTCATAAATTTGAAACTCAGCCAGTAACTGGAAGATTTGTACAACTTGATTTGTAACTAACAGTCAGAGTCAGAATAAATGCTTTGTTCTTTCTTTATACTTGTATTGATAATCCATATATTTTTGGATCTGCTACATGTAAATCTTAGACTTAGCAAAAAATAATTACAAAGGCCGATGATAAAGAGGTAAATTACCTTTAAGAGGAAAAAGCATTTCCATCCCTTTAAATTCATATCATTCCTTGTAGCAAAATCTTCGCTGACAAAAATATTCACATGTTGTTAACTGTACCCCTTCTTTAAGTGGACCAAATGCTTAGAGATGAAAGGCGAATCAAACAAAAGATTTCGTAACCTCCACTCTTATTCCCATTATTTTTGAGTGGAGGTCCTTTCTGGACATCTCAAAGAAAGCGTATATCATAGAAACGGGAACAGAAGTTTCAGTCACTCAAAACATACTTGTGTGAAAGATGTTCAGCAGGTCTTGCCGCTTGAAGCTATGTTGTTTCTTTTCTTTACTGATGAAATTAAATGTGGAATCTACAGCTACACTATATTGCCAAAAGTATTTGCTCACCCATCCAAATTATTGGAATCAGGTGTTCCAATCACTTCCATGGCCACAGGTGTATAAATTCAAGCACCTAGGCATGCAGACTGTTTTTACAAACATTTGTGAAAGAATGGGTCGCTCTCAGGAGCTCAGTGAATTCCAGCGTGGAACTGTGATAGGATGCCACCTGTGCAACAAATCCAGTCGTGAAATTTCCTCGTCCTAAATATTCCACAGTCAACTGTCAGCTGTATTATAAGAAAATGGAAGTGTTTGGGAACGACAGCAACTCAGCCACGAAGTGGTAGGCCACGTAAACTGACGGAGCGGGGTCAGCGGATGCTGACGCGCATAGTGCGAAGAGGTCGCCAACTTTCTGCAGAGTCAATCACTACAGACCTCCAAACTTCATGTGGCCTTCAGATTAGCTCAAGAACAGTGCGCAGAGAGCTTCATGGAATGGGTTTCCATGGTCGAGCAGCTGCATCCAAGCCATACATCACCAAGTGCAATGCAAAGCGTCGGATGCGGTGGTGTAAAGCACGCCGCCACTGGACTCTAGAGCAGTGGAGACGCGTTCTCTGGAGTGACGAATCGCGCTTCTCCATCTGGCAATCTGATGGACGGGTCTGGGTTTGGCGGTTGCCAGGAGAACGGTACTTGTCTGACTGCATTGTGCCAAGTGTAAAGTTTGGTGGAGGGGGGATTATGGTGTGGGGTTGTTTTTCAGGAGCTGGGCTTGGCCCCTTAGTTCCAGTGAAAGGAACTCTGAATGCTTCAGCATACCAAGACATTTTGGACAATTCCATGCTCCCAACTTTGTGGGAACAGTTTGGACCTGGCCCCTTCCTCTTCCAACATCACTGTGCACCAGTGCACAAAGCAAGGTCCATAAAGACATGGATGACAGAGTCTGGTGTGGATGAACTTGACTGGCCTGCACAGAGTCCTGACCTCAACCCGATAGAACACCTTTGGGATGAATTAGAGCGGAGACTGAGAGCCAGGCCTTCTCGTCCAACATCAGTGTGCGACCTCACAAATGCGCTTCTGGAAGAATGGTCAAAAATTCCCATAAACACACTCCTAAACCTTGTGGACAGCCTTCCCAGAAGAGTTGAAGCTGTTCTAGCTGCAAAGGGTGGACCGACGTCATATTGAACCCTATGGATTAGGAACGGGATGTCACTTAAGCTCATATGTGAGTCAAGGCAGGTGAGCAAATACTTTTGGCAATATAGTGTATGTGATCGAAAAGAAGAAATCTGCTCAGCTGTGTCTATTCATCACTCTTTCAATTTCCTGAGTGCAGATGAGAGGCTGAATGGAACCTCAGTTGATAATAAGACGAGTCACCTCTCCCCAAATCTTTTTTTTACATTTTAGGTGTGAACAGGTAGAGTACAGCTTGCTTAGAACACATTTCTAATAAAAGATTTAAGCAGCAAAAAAAAATAAATAAATAAATAAAGAAAAGAAACAATTGATTAGACGAGAATAAGACATTTGAAGGTACTTTTATGCCAGTGGGTGAATACACCCTTTTTTAAAATGCATACCTTGTAAAAGTTATACATATAAGTTTTTAACATTCTGATATACTTTGCTGTGTTATATAGCAACTTATATGAAATGAAACAGCAATAAGTCTTTCAAAGTGTAAATGAATAATATTTGTGTTTTAAAAATGTAAAATACATACTCCAAAGAAATGAGACCAAAATGGAGATTGACTTTCTGGCAGCACAACCTAGAACACCTTATAAGAGCTGCAATGGATTGATTTAAATCAAAGCATATTAATGTCTCAGAATAAAGGCATCCGCATTTAGACCTTAAACTACTTGAAAATGTGAATCAAGATTCCAGATTTATTTGCAGATATTATCTATCCAATCTGACTGAGCTTAATATATTTCAACCTGGAGAGACTGACTTAGAAAAATGTTGCAAATGATTTTATTAAGACTTTAATAAGATAAATGATAGAAGTTCTTTGGCGCTCGGCCCCTATCAGAAGATTTGATGCTGTGGATTGCTTTAAGGCAAAGGCAAAAAATGTGGTTTATCTAAGATGTCTGGAAGTAATATTAACATTCCTGAGTTAAATCAAGTTCTGAGAATCTATGGAGGAGGCTTAAGATAAGAATAATGGCAAGGAGGCCTTTCAACCTGAGAAAATAAGAGTTTATCACCAAAACAACCCCCAAAAATCTCACTATGTCAGCGGCAACATGCAAAAAGTTGGTCATTAATTACAAGAATGATTGGATCACTGTCATACCCGTAAAGATATTTCCATTGGCTGTTTAAATGTATCATAAAAAATTAAATAAATGTGTAATATTTTGATATGTATAGTTGTTTTATTTCTTATTAGAACACACTTTATGTTTTGTGTGTTGTTACAGTTTATTCAACGCCTTTATTACTGTTCATTTTATGCTATCCGTACGAAAAAACTGGCACAACCTGTTATGTTCTTTTTTGTTTTGTTTGTTAACAAATCTTTGGTTAACACTTCTAATGACAGTCACATTCATCATTGCTTTACTAAACTGTGCTTCTGTGGGACTTTTATATTCTTCTTTTATGCATGCAGTTTGGTTTGATGTCCTGAACCATTTAGACTGAAGTCTGGACTGTTGCATATGATTACTAGTGTAAGCACGATGCAGAAAAAAAATGGATAGCAGCAAAAAATCAGAAGTGAGCAAGACCTGAAGGGTAGCAGTAGCCTTAGATTGCCCACATTAAGTCTTCATTTTACCAGTTGTATAACTTTTGAAGGTAACCGGTTGCATTGGAACATTTCAGGAACTTCATTGCACAGAAGCGGATCATTTGTTTTCTTCCATTCCTACTTAGAATATAAATCTTGTTTAAATTTTTATCATCACCATTTTTTTAAACACTCAGCCTATGATCACACTGCAGGCAAATGCGACCCAAACAAAAATCTACATTCATATACGATGCTGAATCGGAGAGTTTTCAAATAATCTGTAGTCTGAATGATCATGCTGCATTGTTTCTGACTTTTAGAGCATTACCACTGCCACATATCCACAGAGAAAGCAGTAACAGTCACTAATTGTTTTGCAAATGGCTTTTAATAGTTGTGCTGTTTTTCCTTCATTGTATTTCTTTGTTATTTATGTAGTGATAATACCATCAGCTCCCATTACTCAACAGTTTAATAAGAAAACACAGACACAATTGTTATGTTCTTTTTTGTTTTGTTTGTTAACAAATCTTTAGTTAACACTTCTAATGACAGTCACATTCATCATTGCTCTCCTAAACTGTGCTGTTGTGGGACATTTACATTCTTCTTTTATGCATGCAGTTTGATGTCCTGAACCATTTAGACTGAAGTCTGGACTGTTGCATATGATTACTAGTGTAAGCAACAATGCAGAAAAAAAATGGATAGCAGCAAAAAAGCAGAACTGGGCAAGACCTGAAGGGTAGCAGAGTAACAGTAGACTTAAATTTCCCATTCTTGTTTAAATTTTTACCATCTTAGACCATTTTTTTTTTAGATCTATCACATAAAATAAGACAAAAAAGGAAAAATTACAGTTTGGAATGTGATAAAATAGTTAAAAAACACGGAGGATAATTACTTTTCTAAGATACTGTATACAGGCCAATTACTGACCATGCAGTATCCAGTTTTTAAGATCAAGTGCTTTTTGCTTCAGCTCTCTCTATACTTTGACCTTTACTACTCCACACTACTTAAAGCAGTGGAGCTTAGGCTGGGAGAGTTCATGAATATGCTCTGGTTTATACTGACTCTGCTATCCCTCCCTCAGATCATCTCCTCTGACCTTCTCAAGCTTCCACTGCTCGTCTTACACGTTTTCTTTGGCCCACCGACTCTCTGCCAGTGGCTGTCAGCCCGCATTTTTCAGCCTTTGTTGACACAGATGAACAATTGCGGCAGATTACTCCATGGCTCCCCTCTCCACTTCCTAATCCATTTGCATGATAGTATCTATTTTCCTTTTTTTCCATGTAGGAGCTGTATTTAGATTTTCTGACATAGAGAACATTTCTGTGCATTTGCTGCATTATCGGCCAGAGCTTGGTTCTGTCTGGGAAAATGCCATGATGGCACTAAAAATGTGTTGAAGTAAGAAAGGAACAACATGCAAAAAAAAAGCCTCTGCAATTAATTACTGAAGAAAACTTTGAAATCATATTTATTTTTTATGGTAAATCCCTGCTTTATTTCTCTTTTGCAGGTGTTATCAGTGCAGATGTGTGACGTGGTGAACGAGATCGAGCTGGAGAAAGAGCGCTGTGAAAGTCACACCTCTGGGAATGTCACTTCAGGTCATTCTTGAAAAGTATTTCTTTCTTTAGGGTGTGCAGGGGGCTATAAAGAGGAAAGAGTAGGCAGTATGGGTGAATAAACTGTGAGTAATGGCTGTGAACTCTGGCATTTTGTGGACGAAGTGCTATTTTCAATCACAGAAACAAAGTGTGGATAATTTTCATGGCTGAATAATTCAGCACAATAAGTTTGGGATCAACCTTGAAGCAGACATTAACCCTTAAAAATGTCTAAATTCTTAGAATTCAAGTCATTGGTTATGAAACTATAAGATTCTAAACCTACTTTAGAGTATTTTAAATACTTTTCTCAAACAGGTCACAGTGTAACACCGTCTGATAAGGTTAAAAGAACATTTTGCAGAAATGAAGGCCTGCAGCATCACAGATCCAGCACAATACCTAATAGTGAACAGGACGTGCTTTTAAGGGGGTTGAATGTGCCACCCTGTCTCAGCTAGAGATTATAGTGATTCCTGTCAGACTGCATGACCTAACATGCCAAACTGCATGAGTTCTGGCTGCAGCACAATCTTTCCAGACAGATCTGACATTTGGTCCTTTAATAAATGGGCAGTATGTTAAGGATGTTAATGTGCGTATTATTACAGCTGGACAGTGAAAAGAAGAAGAGACGAGGCAGGAAATGAGACAGAGGTTATGGCAGCATAGAAGATGAAAGGAATCAAATGTCAGCTGCAGTCAAACTGCAATCCACTGTTTTCTCAGAATATATCGCATATTTGTCAGAGGTTGCTTTTAACTGTTGGAGCTAAACCAGTGGTTGTCTCGTATTAAAGGACAGCAGACCAGCAAATTAGGAAAATTATCAGAGATTTCGTGTTACACTATATGCACATGGACTCTGTGCTGGTAAAAGGCTTAATCTTAGTTTTATCTGACCAAAGCATTAGCTCCCTGTATAGTTAAAAAAATATGATAGTTTTTACCTCCCTTACCATGTAGCTTACTCAGCGCGCTGGCAAGATAAACACAAGTCCTTATACAGCTTTGTTTATTTTCAGTTCCAGTCTATCCATACTTTTTAAATCATACAGCTGTAGATTTGAGCAAGGTAAAAATAAATTTTTTCGTTCTCATTTGCTGATTTATTAGATGGGAGACGCATCTATCTTTCTCAAACTGCATGCTCTATTCTCCCTCTGGTTTTGAAGAGTGGTTAAAAGGGGAGAATTTAGTGGTTTAGAGGTATCTGTGTCACATCAATTAAAAAGAGTCAGTCAGTCATTAAAATGTCTCGTCAAGTCTGATCAGCTAAACACGTAAAAGCTTAACAAGTAAACTTTAAATTAAACAATTGTTTCTTGTTTTTCTTTTTATTGTACGATGATACCAACTCTTGGAAACCAAGTCCAGTGGATTTTTTTTTTTTAACTTTTACGGGATGACTATGACCTGGATGACTGAGAATCTTCATCAGCATTTAATCAGAAATGAAGAAGCTCCTATAACTCTGCACAGCAGTTAATTCAAAATAAGAAACATGTTGAAAAGTTCTTTCCAAGAGCTTAGGCATCTTAATAAAATAATGTATGCGGATTTTTCTGTACTAAATTGTGATTCACAATAAAATCCAGCAAACCAGACTAGATCCAAGCTTTGCTTACTATTATAATTAAAACCCAATTTTCAAATATCCTGAGCTACTATTGTATAATTATAACACAAAAAACACTATAAGTTAATGTTATTAAAAAATAAAAGGAATTTGTTCAAATTTACAAAAATTCTATTATTAGCAGAAAAATTATTGAACCAAAAGACATGATATATAAGTGTTCGAAAGACCACATTTAATGGATATGCTGCTACAATATGCTTCTTCAAAAGTCCCTCAGTGATACAGTATACCTTTCAACACGAGTCGGAAAATTCAATTATTACTACTTTTTGTTCTCACCCACTCAGGTTCACTGTATCCGGTGATTCCTGTAACTTTAAAAGCTACCTAAATTACTTTTAATACTAGTCCTTTTTTCGCCCCGTTTCATCTTATTAAAATAATCCATATACATGCTGGACATACCTCACTCTGCATTAATTGGTCCCACATAAAGGTCTGGTGTGGTAACAGCTTTCCTTATCTCAGCACCGATCCTTATTCCTCTGCTCTCCTATCTGCTTCCTCATCAGGAATCTAGTGGAAGTTGGGCTCTGAAGTCACATCCTGAATAAATTAATTAGCTAAATAAGCATTTGAGGAAACATACGTCCCTGACTTATGGTCAGAGAGGCTCAGCCAGATACCAATACCCTTGTATTGAAAAACATTTTGAGAAACTTTTATTTGCTTTTGCAACTGTTTTCAGTTTGCAAATACCAAATACTCACAGGAATAGTCCAAAGTTTATGTTATCGTCTTGTCACACCTTCTCAAGACTTTTAGGGCTTTATGTGATGACAGGACTGCTGACAAGGTCAAAACATTGATGTCTATTTCAGAAAAGATATTAGAAACATATTTCTGTGAAGATAAAAAAGACCACAGCTCACAAAGTTATCCTGAACATCTCATAGCTATAAACAGATTTTATTGATTATATAGAAGCAGATAGAAATGTAAACATTATAAAACTGTTTAGAAAAAGTATAATACTGTCTGAGGATTATTTTGGGCATTCAGAGATGATAACTAGATTTTGTATCTATAGATTTATGATAACGATCAACTGCATTAAGTTTAGAAAAGTAAGAATATACTTTTTTCACAAGAATTGTATTTAGGTAAATAGGCTCTTTGTAGATATTTGTCTCTAAAAGATTGAGAATTTTTCTGTGCAGTCACCTTTTCCTGCCATTTCCCTCTCTATCAGTATGTCTCATATCATATGATAGGTGATGCCATGTCTGTGTTACCGACTATTTTTTTACAGGTTGCCAGGGTATGTGGGACATCATCGCCTGCTGGCCATCAGCCACGTTTGGAGAAGTGGTGACGATAACCTGTCCGCCATATTTCAGTTACTTCAGCGACAAACAGAGAGGTGAGATCATTTAGAACATTTGCCATTTGCTTTGTGCAACTGTTTTTTTTAGCTTCTTCGCAGATTTTACTGATTTAATGGAGACAGAATGGGATTATTTACAGAATGGTGACTTTGGACAAATTTGACTGGAATATATGGTGGAAATGGTCAAATGTACTAATTTTACCGTCTCCAATGAAAACATTTCCTCTTTTCAGAAACCTGTTTGAGGTAATAAGATATTTGTGGGTTGGTGCATTATCCTGGTAGTAATGAGAAGGAAATAAAGAGGTGGACACAGAGCATAAACAGAGGTATGGATAATGATTCATTGGATATCAAAGGTGTGCCAAGAAGTTAACCTCCCACACTATTATACTCTGGTGAATTAACCCAAATTCTGTTATTATTCAATATGGCAAGCCTTTGGCTATATTGACCCCATTTTATTGTTGAACTTCTGCTGCTGTGGTATCTTTGCTTCTAGGTTTTACTTGTTGCATAGACAGAGATGGTGTTCCACAAATGGTTGTAATAATAACAAATAACTTGGTTCTGTTAAGTTTTCTTTTGAGTATTCAGTTTTACTTTGATCCATGTATCCTAGTTTTATTGGTTTAATTTCTATTTTGTTGTGTTTTCTGGATGTATTTGAGTTCTTAGGTTTTTCTTTGGCTACGTTCACACTGCAGCATAAAGTGACCAATTTTTTTTTTGCCCATATGCGACCTGGATCTGATCTTTTCATGGCTGTCTGAACAAGACAGATCTATTTTTTTTTCAATCTGACGCAGGCCACTTGGCTATGTGGTCCTGAATCCGATGCAGATCTGATCTTTTCAAATGCGACATGTGTCTGAGCGGCCAGGAAAGAAAAAAAAGAAAAAAAGAGCATGCTGGCCTGTGACGTCATTGCGTCCTGTACTGCGCATGCGGGACACTTGCGTTGTATGACTGCAGTTCACACAGAAGATCACATACAAGTCGCATATAATTGGAAATGTGAACGGCAATGCAAAAAAAATCGGAATTGAGCATCAAGGCCTGCAGTGTGAATGTAGCCTTTGTTGCCCTCATGTGTTGGTCTTCTTTTCCTTAGCTCCTCTCTAGAATTCTTTGTTCACACCTGCCCCTAATCACCTCATTAGTCCTGTCTTTGTTCAGTCTCCCATATAAACCCGCTCTGTGCAGTTCCTCAGTGCTGGTTCCTTGTCTATCCCCGGTTCCTCATGCATGTTTTTCCTGATATCTCCAGGGTTCTGATTTGTTTTACATTTTTATGTTATATTTTTGGATTCCTGCCTCATTTGCTTGTGAATACTCCATTAAACCTACAAGAAGTCATCTCTGCCTCCCTGCCTCTGCATTTGGGTCCTTAAAACCTCAACCAAACCCTGACGATAATAAATATATAAACATATTATTGTTATTTTTTATTTGTTATACATTTTAATGTTATTCATTATGTAGTAAATGACTCCTCTTTCAGCCATTGTTTCACTTCCAGTATTGCAACAAAATAATTTGTCAACACAACAGCTGCGTATCGCTTTTTCAGAGCTTTGTCACGGTAGCTCCAAGGCCTTACTTTGCATTTCTGGATCTGCTTCAAAAACTTCTAATTTTTCACTGTTTTTTGACCCAGCAGGAGAGAGAATGTTTGTTATATCATCTTTCATGTGTCTCTTTGCATCCGTGTGTAAATAATAATAATAATATAATAGAATGAATAATAATATAATATAATGAATCGAATATCTATATCTGAATATCTATATCTGAATAGAATATCTATTCAGAAATAGAAAATTTGTGCTGCTGATGTGCTGCTATCACAGCGCTTGTCTTGCTTTTAAAAACAATTCATGGTGTGTGAAGGTAGTTTAGTAGTTTCCAAATAACCTAGACCTGCTTGTTGCAACAATAATATTTCATTAAAATTCATTGAAATTCTCTCTATTCGCCCATTCTTGTTTTAAACATCTGTAAGTTGTCTGATTGAGGTTGCATCTATGTTTTTGCTGTGAACATGCAGCTTAACAGTTGTATGTAATAAAAGGGTCAGTGATTATATTTCAAAAATATACAGCAAAACAAAATTCAATTAGCCTCGTGTAGAGGTTAGATAGTAATATCTACCTTTGCAAAGTGCTAAGCCTAATTCAGGCCCTGCTGTCCTGCTACCATGTTACAAGCCCACCACATTCCTTGCATCCATGCCACTCTGCTGCCTCCTCACTAAGCTTTGTCTGTTATCATTTTATGGAAACAAACTTTAATGATGTTTGGGACTAAACTTAAGCACTAAAGACTTTGTAGCATGGATTGTTGACTAAAACAGCTTACTTTTTCATAATATCCTCTATATTTATTTTAAAACATTATTGCAGCTTTTACTTTTGGAAACAACACTGATGCAAAACCAAAAAAAAAAAAAGGATGCATAACTCTTTTGTTTTTGCAACTCTGCTTAATACAAAATATAAATTATTAAAACACTTTGGGGCAGAATTTCTTCTTAGCTGCTCATGCAACATCTTTTCGACTAACTTTAACCTTTGCAATTAATGCTTGCACCGTGAAAGCTTTATGCAGATGTGTAACCAAAAAGAAAGTGACTCACCTCATAGAGGCAAACAAAAGAAAAATACAGTAGTCTGCAACATATTGGTTTTCCCCTTCAAAGTGCCATTTTAAAGAACATCGCAGGTCATGTAAACACCATGTTAGTTTTTTCATAATTTCTTTGTTCTATTAAATACATTTGAAAACCACACGTTTTTCACCTTGTTGCCCTTCCCCATGCCGACATTTAAAGCATGTTGGGGTTTTTTTGTTGTTTTTTTTGAGGTACAGTACAGTATGGTGGGTTTTTAACCAGATTAATTTTCTCTTGAGCTTAGGTAACAGTCAAATAAAGATGTAGCTAGGTTTTTAGTTATTACACTAATTCTAAGCATTGGAATAGCCTTGCTTGAGAAAAACTGAAAAATGGTGTTGATTTTATGATTTCCAAAAGTTCAACTAGACTTTAATAACTTGTAAATGCTACAAAGGAATTTCCATTATGAGGAAATGTTTTAAAAAGTATTTATATTTGATCAGTAATGCAATGAACCAGATATGTTTATTAAGATAAACCAGTTCTTAGGTATTATATGAATTTACTAAAGTGGCGTTCTGTAAAGGCACTGTCTTAGCTAAGTCTTTATCTTAGCGATGTGTTCAAAAGATTATAAACATTTGTGTGAAAGCATTTAATTGACTCACCATTATTAACTAATTTGTTACTTTCTTAGTTTAGTTAAAGTCAGTGTGTGTGTAAGCTATCTGAGCCAACTAAAATTTAGTTGCTAGAATTTCAAAACAAGGTTAGATGAGAGCCTGAAAAGTTTGTCCGATCTATGTTACCCATTTTAACTTTTAGGGAACATAAAAGGCCGTCAAAGTTTTATAATTAGAATATTTTGTATAATTATTATTATTATTTGCCTATTTAAAATGTAAACAAGCAAAACATCCAAACCTCTATAAATAGCAAACTAAATAGCATAGAATATACTTTATTGTCATAGACTCAAGTGTGCAGTGGATAGTAGCAGCTGCCATTAGTGTCAGGGTGGGATGGAGGTTTGACAGGACCTAAATGCAGACACTGAAGCTGAAGCGTTTTCTTTAAGATTTAATAATTAAAAAGGGTAACAGAAGCAAAAATCCAAAAACATAAATCCACAAAAACTGAGAACCAGGAATATGCACAGCAAGGGGGCAAAGAAATGACAAGAAACCAGCAACAGAGACAAAGCAGAAGGTGCATATATGGAAGAGAGAAAAAAAAGACCAGGCTAATCAGCAGATTGGGTGCAGGTGTGAATAGAGGAGTCTAGAAAGGAGCTTGGGAAAAAGAGACCAACACAGGAGGGCAATAGAGGGCAAACAATAAATACCTAAGAACTCAAATACACCAAGAAAACACCACAAAATAAGAATTAAACCAATAAAACTAGAAAACAAAGAAAAAACATGGACCAATGTGAAACTGAAAACTCCAACAGAACCAAACCATGACAATTAGAAACAATAAATACATATAAAAACAAATACTAGCTAAAAATCGCACAGAGGCTACTTACACACTCATAACATGCCTGAAGCCTTGCTTCAAGGGGCATTATAACAGTAAAAACATTTAAAAATATTCCCTTTAAATTAACTAATATTTTGTCATGACATTACTTGAAGCAACTAATCAGACTTTTGGCCTTATCAACAAAACTTGAGGCAAAGATGACAGGCCTTTTTTTTTTTTTTTTACATCAAGTCAGTACATTTTTTTCAAATAAACCAAATTAACCATAAAGCCATGGGAAGAACTGTATATATCTTAGGCATAAAAATGCATTAGATCCATGCTGTACACAGTGCTAAATAGACGAATCTCCCTCGCCTTGTCTTAACTCAGTCAGTTTAAGAAGTATGTCAATTACTATGAAGTTTCTCTAGTTTAAATTCTCTTTTTTATGTCTGTTAAAATCAGCTGAATGAAACCTATAAGAAAAATTGCAACCCCTAGTTAAAACAGATTATATCTTAACTTTAAAGGCACTTTTCGTCCCATTTCAGGCATTTTCAGAACTTTGGTGTGATATGCAGCAGTCTAGTTATAAAAAAAAAAGAAAAAGAAGGGGGATTGTAACGATTTTGGTTCTGTTGGTTTTCTCTAAGTTTTCAGTTTCAAGTTTATCCAGGTTTTTCCTTGTTTTCTAGCTTTATTGGTGTGTTCTGGATTTATTTAAGTTTCTTAGGTTATTCTTTGCTTGTCCTCTGCTGCCCTCTTGTGTTCTCCTTTTTCCTACCTCCTTTCCTGTTCTGATCTGCTCACACCTGCTCCCAATCTGCTCGTTAGTCCTCTCTTTGTTTCAGTCTCCCCTAAATACACTCCTTATGCAGTTCCTCAGTGCTAGTTCCTCGTCTTACTTTGTCTCACCCTGGCTCCTTGTGATAGTTTTCCCCTGATG